AAACATCTGAAAAGTTATATAACTATAATATTGCTTTTTGTTAATGGTGGGATCCAAGTTGTGAGCGTCGGTCGTTGGGTGATTGTCGTTCGCCACACAAACCTAAACCACCGTCCCTCAACACCGTGAGGTGCCTACACGAACGCCAGAACGCTATGTTCTCAGTGTTGTTACTTTGAGATAGATTGCGAACTTCCAACAAAGAAAACATGGTCTTTAAGTACAAGATATAATTGAGGGATTTAATGACATAAAAATGCAAAAAACTATGAGTTACAGGCAAAAATGTATGCCACCAATAACAACCGGTGTCCGGTAGCGGCAGCTGACAAAATATTGCAGTGCCATCTGTTTCAAAAAACACGGGACAACGCAGGATTCGACGACGATATATGGTATTGTAATTCTCCACTATGGGTAAATAAATTACAGGAGATGATGAAGGTAATTTCGAAAGCTACAGATTTGTGCCGAGTGTACACCAACCACTGTATGAATCTGATTAAAATCTGATGTAACAAAAGTAATAAAAAATAAAATTAAAATAAGTTTATAGCCAAAATACACTACATCAGATTTTAATCAGATTGCCACTGTATTAGAGCGACGGCGTGCAAAGTCTTTCGGCCGGAGTTGAGACAAGGCATATCATGTACGTGTCACAAAAACGATGCGAAAATCCGATCTTACACCATCAAACTTACCCCAGAACAACGACAAAACTTGTCACAAAACTTTGGTTATACCAAAGGTATCCAGGTCAGATGTTGGAACTGAGGTCGCTGTGCCGGTCGCCGTACATGATACACTGCGTCCCGCCGCGTCTCAAATTTCGGTCGAACCAAGTACCGCTGAACGTCAAATATCCACAGTTACAAGTAGTATGATGAGTCACAAAACCGGTTTATTTCACAACTGTACTTTCAATGGGCAAATTACAGTCCAAATTGTACAAAAACCGGAATGAAAACGTGGAAAATCCGTTGTTTAAATGATCCAAACTGTACACGACCCTGTATTTCAAATCGCGTTGTGCGTCAGTAAAAGGTCAGAAAGGCCATCCTTTGTTATGCTAATTTGTGTGTTTACGCTGCTCTATTCAACGTGGGTATGTTTCTTTTTCATGTGGAATAAAAATTAGTTTGTATTCAATTTGAACTGTGTTGCGCATGTAATTTTTGAATGCATTCAGCGTACAACTACATACTATTCTTATAAATATTCATGTTCAAGGGCCATAATCATGATTTTTTAGTAGATGAAAGTAAACTCTTTTTTTTACTAGTTTTATCGAATTGTCAATATACTGGTATAATATAATAGCAATAACCCCCGCCGGCTCGTGCATATATGTCGTGAATTGTGCAATATCTCGTGGTATACCCGCCTTCGGCGGGGGTTATTGCTTAAATATATTCCAGCGAAAATGAGAGTAATTACTGCATCATAGCAATGAGAAAAAGCAACCTTTCTTTCATTTAGAAGTTCATCTCACTCCACGGAACACAATTATTTGTCGTATACGTCTGCAACAACTTGCATAAACCACCGCGAGTACATCTCTGTCACGGCTCTGTACATTTTCATGTAGGAGGTGACATTTCTTCCATACATTTAGCAAGTTCGATAGTGGGACAAGATCGCAGCATTTTCGCCAGCCAAGGACAATTTATTCGGCCGAAGCCTCAACATAAACCCTTAGTAGATTTCACCACAATTTACCGTTTCGCTGGTTCCTGACGTCCTTTGCGAATGGCAAGTAGGACGCATGTAACTAGTAATCGCCATATTGTTCCACTGGGCCGGGATTCCGGCCCAAAGTCACGAGACTGTGTTGCAACCACAGTTGCAACGAAGACCGACATTGAGTGGAAAACCCGGAATGTGAAAACTATGGAAACATGGAAAGTAAAGATACTCTGAAAACATGGAAAGTAGAAATATGGTAATTAAAATAAACAATTCATAATATATATTAAGTTTTATTTCTACCTCCATTATTTTGTTTCAAACGAACAGTAATAGATTTGTCCAGTAGATCAGACTGCGATCTTCAAGTTGAGTTTTGTCACAAGAGGGCGCACTAGCGAGTCTTTCCATATTTTACCCGGGAGAGAAGAAAAATATATACTGCTGCACGACAAATAGCAAAGCTTGCAAAATGGTTTGACCCGAAATTATAAATGATCTTGAGAAGCACCATTAGCAAACCAGTCACCAACTCACTTAACAATGTTGCTGTTTTGGGGTCCAGAACTTTGTAAGCAACTTTGGGTGGACCTCAACCAAATATGTGGTGGTATCCCGATGAATGTTTAGCAATTATGCTGTAAATCCACCCAGGGTCGTTAATTTGAAGATTGGGTTTTTGAAACCGAAAACTGCTCGTGGGTGGTCCCCCATGTAATATGGCCTTATTTTACATCTAAACGAATGATGTAAAGTCCACAAAATCATCAAGTTGAAATGGCCCATAACATTTAATTGATGACGTATATAACATCGCAACTTTCAGTAATGCGTGAATATAATTTCTTCCCGACATGATTATATTTTCTGTGCCGGAAATATTTCAAATAATATTATTTCGATTTCATGTAAAACAGAAATGTTATGACAATATTACGTGCGTCATCTAAAAAGTTGTATATGGGCACATGTGCATGTGCACGGAGTGACACACAGTTCAACATTATGGAAGACAATTTATATTAAAGCAATGCACACACTATCAAAATTTCAATAGTGGTATACATACATAATCAAATTTTCCTGTCCAAGAACTGACTATCGTCAGGATGCGAAAAAAGGTAACTAGTGTATGTACAGGTAAGTGACAATAAATATTGTCAGTATTAAAATGTAAATACAAATACAGCAATTATATTTTATATAAAATAATCATATTTCATATCATATGCTGTTTTTTTCAGAAAAGGCGACATTTTAAATATTTATAATTCAAAATGGCAATCAGAACGAGCGTGACGTCAGGTTACTAAATCTGATTGGCTGGGTGCAGAGAGCGATACCAGTTACATCCAATCACATCATTTCTTCGGATTTGAATGTTAATGTTATAAATATTTATAATGTCGCCTTTTCTGAAAACAAAACAAAACAGTAGTATCTTGTTTATTTGACGGACATCAATGTAACGCCCGAAATTGGTATACATAAATAAAAGTGAAAGTGATTTAATATTTTGTGTATTTGACGGACAGTAACTTAAGGTCCATACCAATTTCATTAATATAAATGAAAGTCGATTAATATCCACATTATTGGACTGTCGAACTACATGAAAATAACGTAAACTGTACATGTACATGCAACAGAATTTGCATTTCTACCTAAATCTAAAAACATTCTTGTGACAAGTCAAAACCCTGCTGAAAATTCATCCAAAACGTTTCAGTCACTGTTTGAATTATAAATACTAGTAAATAATTCCCGAAATTACTGTTTCCATCATGATGACCAAAACTTTGAGTTATAAATCAATACTTATTCGAAATTACTGTTTCCATGGAAACCGGATCAGATTACACGCAATTTGTCTTTGTCTCACGGGTAACCTCTCCTGAAAATTTCACGAAAATTGGTTTAGAATTGTTTTAGTCATGAGTAAAAAAATCATTTTCGAAATTATACTATTCCATTATAACCATATCCACAATGTTATCAAAAAAGCAAAGGGTAATCCCTCCTTCTGGTTAATGAAAGTTATAAAAATATAATTTATTTTTGATATAAAATTTTGTATTAATCAAATAACTCGGATTTTTTTCTATTGCCATTAACGATATTGATATTAACGAGACTTACGTGCGTCCTCAATAGAGCTGAACGCCAAAATCAAGCAATTGATATCAAGATGGCGACCGCATTGGTTGATTTGAGGTTTTTTTTTTTTTTTTGTAAGACTTTAAATATATATACGAGTATATTGAAACTGGAAAACACATGAATTCATTAACATTCGTTTATTATTAACATTCGTTTTAAATATATATAACAGTATTTGTTACTTTCCATGTTTCCATAGTTTTCACATTCCGGATTTTCCATTCTACGCAACGAAGACCGGATTGTGCAAGTCGATTTGTTATCAGTTTCGACAGCATTGTCAGTTTACTAAAACACGGTTTGTACAAATATTTAGACATTCCATCGTCTTCATCATTCACTTGCCCACAAACAATTTTCAACATTTGGATAAGGAATTTTGGAAACGTGTCAACGAATATAGACCTTCTACGGTGGCCCATATATACAATTGGCCCGCTGCATGTAAATCCGCCCGTAGCTGCAGTTCTGTAGCTAATCCTCCCGTTACTTGAAAATCCGGAAAATCGCTCCGCCGCGGAAGATTCGGTCTTCATTCGCCACCAAGAAGTTCCGGCCACCTACATGTACATGTTTTATATCTTATCGATTGAGTTCTTGCAGTTATATATATATATATATATATATATATATATATATATATATATATATATATACTTATAACTCGTACGTTACAAGTACGAGATCATGATCGATCCCGAAATAGTTATTCACTTTCTCGTATTTCGACAGTTATATATCTTTCTGAACTAGTTTCATTTGCAGTCTGCATGTTTGATATTGTAATCAATTCTTAAAATACATATTGTTACATATGGACTTGTACAGGTATTTTGTAATCGTTTCAGCTGTCCATACTTGTCCGGTATTTTAAATAAATTATTATTATTATTATTAATATAAATAAATTTGAATTAAGCCGTTCTCGTAACGTACGAATAAAAACTATAAATATGTATAATTGCGAGAAATCAATAGATAATAGATGTGACCAGAAAGTATTCGAAACTAGAATTAGAATCTAGAATGTTATAACTGAGATCACAATATATCGCAACATTATTTTTAAATAACTTGTTGTCACGTTAGCTTTTTTTTTTTTGATAAATATTTTTATTACGTTAGCTTTTACTTAGTTGTAAAAAAAAAAAAAATGTGATACGGTATCTTGAAAATTGCAGTAGACGAAAGATTAATTGCATATTGTCGGTAGGTGGCACTAATACTCTAACCTCTCGTGAGACTTTGATCAGCTGGTCCTTGACGAGTGTATTTCAATAACAACGTTTATCTACACAACGTCATTCGCGGTCGGTTTAATTTTACCCAAAGTAAAGGACACCATGATTGCTTTGGAAACTTAGTAACAGTAATGTAGAAGTCTATGCCATGAAAAGATATGAAAGAATCGCCTGGGAGTGGTGCAGCGGTACAAAATAGGAAATATTATTTGTCACGTTGACCAGCGAATGTTGGATTGGCCCAGGGTTACAAGAGGGACTGGACTGTGTACTGGTGAGTCACATGGATGGGGACAGTGTCCGTCTCCTGTAGTTTGAAAGTACGCTTTAACGTGATATCAGTGATCGTACTTGCGTTGCTGATTTTCTTTTAAAACACAATATTTTACAGATCAAAAATGAATACACGGGGCTCTGGACATTAGGAGTAGGAATTGAGAGCTGGCCTGAAAAAAAAAAAAACATCATGTCGTCGACATATTTATGCGGCGTTGACATATTTGGTAAGACCTACCTGCTGTCTACCAGTGGACAGTTCTGGATAGAGTTGAAAGGTCAACAGCTGGAGATGAAGCGACTGTCTGCTGTACACCAGTGTGCATGGGGTCTTGGCTGTGATCACCAGGTGTATACCTACGTGTATTCAACGGATGTACCAATTAGATACCAAGTAGAAACATACGAGAACCAGGTATATTCACTGAAGTATTTGATTTTATTAGTTTTAATAGTGGTTTCTTCGGATCCAAAAGTATTAAATTTATAATCTACACAAATGTTTATATATACTTGTATCAATTTTTGTGTATGAAATATAGAGATCAACATATTTCTTTTGGAGGAAATCATGGTTATACATAGTCCCACAGTCTTGTGCACATCAGAAGTCCACTGCCCTCAAACAAGTATAAAATAGCTATAAGAAAGACATGAGGAATGTATAAATATGTTTAAAAGAACATACTCATAAGTCATATGTAAAAAAATAAAAAAATTATCACCACTCTAGCTGTGCTAACAAATAAAATCTTTGAAACAAGGGTGTCGACTATGTTTGAATTTATATTCATTGCCCTTTGACCTTCTTCCGTGCATTCGCAGACATGTCAAGAAACTCTCATGCGTTCTATGAAAGTATTTATAACCTTGATTTTCGCAGAAAATAATTGATCTTTATTTTTCTGCACAAAAATATTGTTAAAGCGGGGGAGTCGTCACCTGTGCATGCGTCAGATGGCCATAGTGTGTCATTGTTTACAAACAAGCGTCAACCCATGAGCCTTTGCATTTTTAGCATGTGTTGTTATCGTCACTTGGGACTCAATTTCCGAGCGTGCGCAGATGACAACCCTCCAGCCTTAAATTAGCTGAAATTGCAATTTATCAACATTTGTTTGAATTATAGGTATTTCAATGGAATTATCAATCATACGTGAATCAAACGTGAATCGTACATCAATCAAACCATACGCTATCTTCACACTTGTTGAGTTCTATTGTAATTTGACATTCTAGTATTTGGATTAAATTTAGTGAATTTGGCTTATCAGCAAAAATACACTTAACACTAAATCAACGTATTGGTATTTTTCAGAGATGGAATCCTGTTGATGGTTTTACATCAAAAAAGTTGTTGTTCAGTGATAGATGGCAGTGGAGCAATGAAAAAGGAACAAAATATTGTCCGAAGGATAAAGTTAAACTTCCATCAGAGCATTGGAGTTGGGAAGGTGACTGGTATGTTGATGAAAACATGAAAGGAGAGGTGACCGGTAAAGGGGTAAGATTACTCAACATTCTTGTATGACTTAATTACTATACTTTATCGTGTGTTTTGTTCTGTCTCCATCTCAACAAGATTTCATCTATTACCCAGGTTCATGTGTTCGTTCACACATATTAGATTTACATTATTATACATCTGTCACAGTAACGCCATAAGTTACTGCGTGCCGTAATTTTGGGGTATTTTCATCCTACCATATGAGGTAATGCGAATTCCAAATATGGAATGATTCTGCACGTAAGCATTCTCTAATAATAAGAACAAACATGGCTGCCACCAGGGTTTGATCAGACTCCACACAAAACGCTGATTCCATGATGTATTCTTGGAAGAAAAAGATATATAATAATAAGGTTATTACGAGGATACCTCATAGTATGCCCTCAGACAGTATGTCGCTGTGCGTCGGTCGATACTTCAGCTGTACTGTCTTCGTGTATACTTTGAGTTATCCTCATAATAACCTCATATTATGACATTTGAACCAAAAAAAATAATAATAAAACTAAATAACATGTTTGTTTATTCATATAGATCTCCCCACTGTAACAACAGTTAGTTTGCATATGAACACAACAAGAATGTGTATGAATACTTATAATTTACTGTATATATAAATCTTAAATTTTTTCTATTAAAAGTACATCTCCAGTAAACCATCAATTGCATTAAATGTACCATTCAAATATTACTAATTTTAACTTACATGATAAATGTATGCAATATATCAAATACAGTAAACATATGAATACCATTCCATATTGCATCATAACATTATTACATTGTTTACTCTGATTGATCTTGCATGGTAATACAGCTGCATAGGAACTGCCTGCAGGATATCTAATGAAGATCAATTACGTAAAACCCCCATACACATACACATACTGTTATTTTATTTTTTGCCATACAGGGATGGCAGTATGCTGTGGACTTTAAAAGACGTTACACAGTAGAACAGAGGTGGAATTCGTGCGTTAGACGGCGACGGTGGATCCGATACAGACGATATCATGCTTCAGATACCTGGGCAAAGGTATGTAAGTAAAGTGAAATTACCACTTTGCCATGAAATGTCTGTACGTCTGGCGTGCTACTATGATGTCGTCGTTATTTCACTGAAATTATGTCAATTGGGACATTTTTACTTATATCAACAAGAAACTACTTGCACTGCCAAAATAGGGGTATGAATTTGCTCTATAATCGCTGTATGCTAGTTCCAGAACCAATTTTTTATTTTACCTCGGTTGCAAATAGCATTTGGTGTCTTTTGGTTTTGGTTTTCCCTATCTCAGAATTACAATTAAAATAGTGCAGGTATAATATAATGGCAACAAACAACCTTTGAAGTCAGACCACTTGATTTTACACAATCCACTCCCTATACAAACTCACTCACACTTGATTTTACACAATCCACTCCCTATACAAACTCACTCACACTTGATTTTACACAATCCACTCCCTATACAAACTCACTCACACTTGTGTGTATATGTCATAAATTGTGCAAAATCTTTTGGTATACCTGACTTCTCAGTGGTTTATTACTTCAATTTTTTTAAAAAATATACATAATTATCTTTCCTTTTTTTTCAGATTCCCAGCCCATTTGATGACCCATTACAAGAACCTTTTATTGATATTTCAGTGGGTGGGTATGACTTAGCAGGTCAAGTTGAAGGTCATCTCCTAGTATGGGCAGTTACAGTACAAGGAAAAGTAAGTTTTAATGCTACCATAAAATCTGTATTAGAAAATTCACCAATTCTCCTTCTAGATGTTCTAATAGAAACCATATCCCCTTTGCATTGTACCATCCTAATTAAAGCAGCGGCTTCTAATACAGATTTTATTGTGCATAGTGAAGGCAATATACTGATACAGCTTTAAGGAAATTCACAATTTGTGTCTTCTGTTTGCCAATGGATAAAGTAATTTTGTGTGATTAGTTACCTTAACTCGTATACAGTATTTGATAGACTAGATATACTGATTCAGTCTTCCGCTTGTCTTCTCATTTCAAAACAAAGATACATTGAAAAACTATTTTATTATACCAGTGTTATACCTGTAAATGCATGATTGTGATTGGATGAAAGGTAGTAGCTGGTCTCAAATACTGATATATCATATCTAAACATGACCCCAAATCCTACTATGTACAGTCTATGTAGTGAGTTTTTAAAAAACCTGTGATAGAATTCAACCTACAGATTATTTTAGTAATACTAATCTGCACTGTGTATGATAAGACATGTCTGGTGAAAGCTGTACACAAGTGAGTGTTTCATAATTAATATATCCCAGAAATGAAACTATTTGTCAACCTGTTAGAGTGTACATGTACCTTACTGGAAAGTAGCCTGTAAAACAAAATCTAAGTGGTAGCTGATCAGACAAGACTTAAAGGAAAAGTCAAGGCTAACAACATAATACTCCCAGATGAAAGAGCTTGGCGAATATGAGAAAATGCAATTTACAGTTTTTTAAAGATGAAAGCATTTTCTCAATATATCACAACAGAGGATATGATGTCACACTTTACCCACAATCCTTTGCTGGAGAAACAAGATGGCTGACTACATAATACTGATTAGAAGTTGAATATCTAGAGAATGAAAAGTGATATAAAAAAAACTGTAAATTGCATTCTCCTACATTTGTAGAGCTCTTACATTATGTTGTTTGGCTTGACTTCCCCTTTAAGCATAATTTTGCGCAAGTCATTGGTCAGATTGTAAATGTATTCAATTATTAAGAGCAGATAAAATTGTCTCTTTTAATAACTAGGTGTTTGTACGACGTGGAATACGCAGTCACTGCCCAGAGGGTACTCATTGGATGGAAGTAGAAACGGAAGATGGAAGAGATGCTGTACAGATATCGGTTGGCCCCACAGGATTAGTCTGGGTGGTATTACGAGATGGAATGGCTGCTGTCAGACATTCTGTTTCCAAGGACCATCCCCTCGGTGAGTATGCTTATTCTGTTGTCTCTACATAGAAGGTCTCATAATATTTGTCCTATTTTATATTTATAATAAAACTATCATAGATTTTTTTTTAAATTCACACATAAATGCAATATTGAATGTTTCATTTGTCTTGTTGGTATAACATGTACATTGTTCTCATTTCTGGCTCTAACTCTAAACTCTAACTAAAAATAGAAATTACTTTTTTGTTTTACACTTAAATTACTAAAGTTTAGTTTGAATCCAAATTATTACTTTCACTCAAACCTTTTTCATTACCTTTATTATCATGCAAGTCTAGCCTCCGTCACACTAACAAAGAATTAGTTTCCCTCAATGACATGAGAAAAAAAACAATT